TGGGGTGCAGGGCCCAAGCACCTGGGCCATCCTCCACTGCACTCCCTGGCCATAGCAGAGAGCTGGCCCGGAAGAGGGGCAACCGGGACAGAATCCGGCGCCCCAACCGGGACTAGAACCCGGTGTGCCGGCGCCGCAAGGTGGAGGATTAGCCTATTGAGCCACGGCGCCGGCTTTTGAATATATAATTTAAAGCACAGTTTGTAAGCAGAGCTATCACTGCTCTTCAAAAGTAGCTTTACAGTTGCTGAGAGTGAGAGATAAAATCCTATTAATACTTAACTTTTTTGCAAAAAAAATTCTTTGTAAAAACTGTGTTTTAATCACATCAGTCACTAACAGAATTGTCTCAATCATAATTTCTTTAGCTCAACTTTATCTGATATGGCAACTGTTGCTGGAGTAATATTATCCTTATTTCATAATGCTTCTAGCAAAAAAGAAATCAACCTAGTTGTAAAGACAGTTTAGTAATCTTTCAAAATGAAATACAAGGGGACTTCAAAAAGTCTGAGGAAGGTGAAGTTAAAAGAGGTTTATTTTGATGTACAAGTTTTTGAAATTCATGCATGTGAGGGAGTCTTCATTAACAACGGAACTTGTGAGAAAACCATGCATGGATTATAAAAAAAGTATTTTTGCACCCAAACTTATCTTTTAATTCCATTTTTTCACAAAATTTTTTCTCAAATATACCTTCTTCAATTTCATTGCTACCTAATAAGTTACTCTTGCTGAAAAGCATTTTCTTTTAACCTATATTTCCTGGACAATAAATTGTGCTACCAAGTCATAAAAGTCATCCCTCCAGCTACTCTACACTCTAACCAAAGAGAAATATTACCTCTTTTCTTAGCATAATGTGTACTTTTGTTTTTAAATTTTCATCATTTTTCTCATGTTGCTTCCTATGTCGCCACTACCCTTTCTTTTCATTTCTAACTTGTGAACTCCTTCTCATTCTTCAAAAACTAATTTGAGGTAGACAGGACGTGTGGTGACACTATATGCACTCCTTTTAGAACTATCACAGCTCATATTAAAGGTGACCCCGGTGTGCTCAGCTATGTTGATGCATTAGGAACCGAATGGCTAAACTAGCCAAAGGTCCACAAGTAAACCCCAATCAAAGATATGCCAATCAGAAGTCATGATCAGGAGTTTGGAATGGAATCCCTAAGAGGCCAAGCAATTGGCTAAGCAGAACTAAAGTCAGAACTGGAAAGTCACTTATACTGGGGACAGAATTTATGCTATCATGACAAGCCCTAGATGTGTGCAAATTACCATGGAGCAGAAATCATAACTAAGATAATAAAGTCAGTCTGCAGATTATTTTCCATTCTGATTTCATGAGAGACACAAAAGGTCCTTGAGAAGACAATGGTTCAGAAACCAGCTCTTCTCTGAAGCTTTTCCTGAACAGCCACAAGATTATTTAATGTTAACCTGTTGTCAGGTACTAATACATAAAGCATTACGATATAGATGTTTTATTGTCCAATAGTTAAGACCTAAAATTGAATGACTACTGTGAGCTAGACATAATGGCGTTATTTTAACACATGCATGATTTTCACACCTACAGTCTACATCTGTATTCTCTCCACATCATAATAGAGTTAAAGTCTTTGCCCATTATGTAGTTAGAAACTGAAGGAGCCATTATTCCACACCTGGTATGATTTCAGAATCTGTGTTTCTAACCACCATTCACAACCAGCTCTTGCATTAATGATTGCTTATTGTCTCCCTTGCTAAACATTCAGCTCCTCAAAGTTAGAGACAAATATTGTTCACATTTTTTAAAATGCCAACAAGGCCCCTATGAACATGCTAGCCCTGATAAATATTTATTGAAATAAAATTAACTAGCATTACCTGGATTGCAGTCCCAGATCATTGATATGGTCAACTATTTCTAAGCAATTGCTGCCAAAACCAAACATACACAGACCCACAAATACACATATTTTTACAAATATCAGATGCCTACATTATATAGATTATGGATTATTTTCTGCTTTTTTAACATACTTACAATAAATTCATTATTTATATTTTGTGTTTAGAGTGGTATTTTAGAAGATCTAAAAATTGTAATCACAGAACCCAATGGAAAATATTGTATGAACCTAAGGGTAGCATTGTCAATTTTTTCTTTAAGACTATAAAAGAAAATTGGTAGCATGATAAAACTAGGTAATACATCCAATTGTAAGATAAAGAAAAACTTAGTGATTCCACTTGCAATTTTCATAACTAGCAGTGAATGCTAATTTTGACTATGCAATTAGAAATACTGATGCTGAAAAAACTTGCAATCATGTAATACAAAATTTTACATCCCTGAATGAATTAGTGCAACTTGATTTACTATACATGATGAACAATAGCCTTAAAGTATTGGATTTGCTGAAATATTAATCGTATTTCAGCTGCATATTTGTGTTTTTTTTTAAATGAGGATGCCCCCATCCACATTCCTATCAGTAGATGAAACAATGTTTGAAGCATCAAACTCTTCCAGCAAAACAAGAAAATGGATGAAGAAAAAGCTTGTGATTTTATTTAGCAATTTTTTTAAAAGCAAAGTAATGAAAACAAATCTACTTTCACCAGAGTGCCATAGGTTACTGGTAGCTGTGAAATTGTTAGGGTAGCCTTGCATTTCCTTCTATCTCCTTTAAGACAATTTTCCAAGAGCTTAATCATCCCTAGATCAATGATAAACAGCCATTGTGACATTTTACCAGTGCTGCACCTTAGTGAGTAGCTAAGCTGTTTCAAAGCATGCTGTTTTGTTTTGCTTCAAGGATGGGTCATTATCCTACAACTTTATCTGCAAACAAACACAAAATGTCTACACCCATGGTGCATTATTGGTTAGAGAAAAAACACCTCTGAAACAACTTAAAATATTTGTCAGTAGCAACTGGATAAATAAATAATAGTGTAGTCACTCCAACACACAACAAATTTAAGGCAACCTTAAAGAGGAATGAATCACCTCTGTATCTATGATTTTTAATAATGATCTGTAAAATTCAGAAAGTAAAAAGAGTGAAGTACGGGGAAGTGTGTGGAGTATGCCAACATTTGAATGAAAAAGAAAAAAACTTGGGAAATTTCCCATGTTGCATGTATTTTCTATCCAAATAAAGTTTAAAAGTGAACATGAGTTTTACGCAGTCATTGTCTAAAATGATCTAGATTTCTTCCATGATCCTCTTTGGAATTTGCATTGTATTTGATTTCCATCTTCCAGCCCCCATTACCAGTTGATGAAATACCTGCAGTTTTCTTAATATTTTCCCAACTTTATGGATATGCAGAATTTCATTTTCATGGAAATCTCTTCCTAACATCTCAGCTGGTTAGAGAGAAGTGTCCCTCCTTGGTTGGTTTCTGACTCCTGCACCCCTACCCGGAGATGGCAAGCAAAGGCTAGCACTAGGGTCACTGGATGAGCCGCGAAGAGGACGGAGAGTCTCCAGCCACAGTGGGTTCCTGTGGAAAGGAAGGGATCCAATAACCAGAGCCTTTTAAACGTTTGCTCCTTTCCCCTCTTAAACAGAAGGCCCTTCTTTCTTCTTCTCCATGAAAGGGTTTCCTGTTTCCTTTCCTCTCTTGTGCTTTATTGGAGACGGCAGACCTTAGAATTGGTCTTCCTGGCACTTCAGAAAACAAGAGCATGTGGAAAAAGAACGCTTCTCCTGGGTGAGCAAGCTGAGACTTCCAGACAAAAGGAACCTAACAACAGACATCCTGCCAGTCCCCCCTCTCCACGAAGAACCAACCAACATTTGTGTCCCTTTGGCTGAGCCCCTTGAAATCGAACCACTTCCGGGAACCCAAAAACAACAAACATTCTAGGACATCTGTGTTATTTAAGGACATTTTTGGGACAATTGATCAGCCACTACTATCCTTAGAATGCCTTAAACCCAGAATTTTGTGGTTTTTATGTAGACTTTTAGATTACTGCATAATAAGAATAAATTGGGAAGGTTGCTGTCCCCTTTGCCTACTGTAAACAGTATTAAATTTGGCAAGCAAAAATGCAAATACAGTTCAGATTTCATTTCTGTGGGTTTTCTCTCAAGCAATATATACTTATTCTCATTCCAATCAATACATTTCAAGCTAAGCAAAAGTTGAAAAATTCAATTTACCTAGAAAGAAAAGAAAATAATTGAATGAGGGAATGTTTGTGATTTTTATTTAATAATTATTTTTAAATCTGCTTTTAGGACTATATTTCTTTGCATGTAGTAATATTTAAGATACTTCCAATGCATTTATTTTATCTAAAATCTGCATATATTTGTTAACTGTTTTTCCACACACATTCTCTTCCTGCCAACCACCAAGTACTTTGGTATTTTATGTACAATTTCTTTCCTTGTCCAATAAGTACTGACCATTTAGGTAGATACTAATTTATTAGAGACTTTTTTTTTTACTTTTTTTACTTTAATTTTCAATGAGTTTTTCACAAATTCAGTGTTATTTGTAGATTCAATTCTAGAACATGATAGGAACTATTTTTGAAAGCTGTTAAATGAAGGATTCAATTTCTTGCTACCATCATCATTTGAGTTTATCAAAGTAAACTGCATTTTCTTTTAAGTTATACTATAATTGATTGATACTGTTTTATATTTAGACAATAACTTTTCTCTGGTCATTTTTTCAGCACGTCACATTTCTGTTCCTGAAGTACACACACATACACACACACACACACATACCATACACCCTTCTAACATCACAATCTCAAAATTTATCTATACTTGTAACATTTCAGGATATAAATGTGAAATTTTATTTCAAAGACTATCACAGCCTAGTAGGAAATAAAAATCTAATCATTGAGATGGTACATTTTGAAAAATAAGCTCATATTTTCATGGTAAATTTTAGGTGCCTATCATTTCTACCAAGAGTTCTTTGCCTTTTCAGACTCTAGAATTAAAAGGGAAAGGGGCTATACACTTAAGAACTGGAACCATAAACTGAAATTATTTATTTCAATTCAATATAGAATATTTATCAGAGTCAAGGTAACAATGTATACAAACATTTACATAACAAGAGAAACAATAGACAATGTAGCACTTTTAGAAAAATAATTAAGAAGTTTCATTTCATTTACAGCTAAGTGCCACACTGAGAATTTACAACACAGTAATTTACTGCAATCACAGGGGAGTTCCATCAAGAAACAAAGCTCTTACACTCCAGATTTTCGGAAGGTATTATTGGAATGCTTAATGGTAATCATTGAATTTGTACATCCTTAGGACTGAGCTGAGAAAAGTCATAAGAGGTTTCCCTAGTATATATTATAGGAGTCCACCGCATGTCCACGACTGGTCTAGTGTCTCTGACAGGTGTGAAGCCGGGAAGAGTTACTGGCTTCATGTTGATCGTTCTGCAGCCGACAAGACAGCCCGTCTCCACAGTAACAGCGCTGGAAAATCTCCAGCCCATGCGAGCCCTTCCTCCTGTGCTTGGTGCACACTTGACCTTCCTTGAGGACGGGCTTACAGATCTTGGACCAGAAGTGCCTGGCGCAACACAGCCCCGTGGCGCAGTCTGATGAGCGAAGGCAGACGGAACCTTCCTGCCCTGCGAAGGAGGAGACAGCAGGAAAACCCGTCACTGCCAAGCCATCATCATTCCAGGGAGACAACTACAAAAACAGCTTAGGCATGCCCACGAATCAGGGCACCTTCCGCCTACCTTTGGCGTGATACATTTTCGAAGACAGGGTGGTTCTGCGGGAATACCCATCCGAGGTGCTGTGGTCGTTCCCGAAGCTTTCGACGATGGTTTCCTCGATTTCCCCTCGATGAAAATGATTGTGATCAGAAGGCATGCATATTCCTAAGGAAGCAGGTAACAGTGATTAACTCCCAGGCGGTAATGCTTTTTTTGCCAACAGCTGTGACAGAAGCACTCTGCGGTGACTGATGCACGTGAGGTACCTCTCAGGTGCAGGGGCATTATTTTAAGCACAAGGCAACTTTCCTCCCTAGTGTCCCTGCGGAACTCCCCAGCGGACAGCAGCATCCACGTGTGCACGGCTGCCTCCCGGGCATCAGTCCCGGTAGAGCCATTGAAAATACTCTCCCACAAACTGTGGGAGGGGCAGTGAGGTTTCTGCCCATTTTACTGTCCCCCTTGGAGTAAGGAAAAAGAAATCGTCATTGTTCTTCAACACAACTTCTCTGCTGCGACTTGGGGCTCTATGAGTCCTGCCAGACTGCGTCAAGCAAATGCAATTCCAGCTGCCCGGAGGATGCTGGTCTCACCAGTTCCCCGACGATGTCATTTCTCTATCACAGAGACTTAAGTTCGTCCCGGGGTCCAGCTGGGTCCCGAGAAGGGTCGCCACCCCGGAGGCTTTAACTTTTAGTGGCTCGGTGTGGGGAGGGAGGGAAGGGAAGTGCTTATTTTAAGGTCGCGAGGGTGGAAGGAAGAGTGAGGGGCCGAGAACCCCACGGGTGAGGGTATCAAGATCTCCCTGAAAAACGGCCAGCGCAGGTAAGTCACCAGACATCAGTTTCAAAAGGAGGAGCCCTGAGAGTCACCGTGAGAAAAAGGGACCAGGGCAGTGAAAGTCAGGGCTGGTCCCCCGGGTATTTCTCAGGGACCCCCTCCTCGCCCTCTCCTCTCCAGTCTCAACTGGCCCCCCAGGGGCACAGAGGAAAAAGCCAGGAGAACTGCAGAGTTCTGTCTACTGCTCCCAGGGAAGAGATCTGCAGCCAACTCCGCCTCCCGCTCGCAGGTGGCGGGCGCCCCAGCGCTCGCAGAGCCAGAGCCGGGAGCCAGCCGCCGGACTCACCGTTTTTGCAGTAATTCCCGGGGCAGCACATCGCGTGACGCATGCAGCGTTTTCGACGCTTCCTGCAAGCCAGACAGATTTGCACGCCGGCGCCCCCTCCGCGGGCGGGACTCGCGCAGTACTCATCCGTGCCACACTCCTCGTCCTCTGTGCACGGGTACGGCTGCGGGGAGCCGGCGGGGAGACGGTGAGGAGCCAGGCACCCGAACGCTCGTCAGGGTCACCTGGCTGAACCCCTCTCCAAAAGCCCTTGCAGCTCTGGGCTGCCGGTTCTCACCCTCAACCAGACACGCCCAGCACCCTCAACCTCCACCCTCGCCGGCAAATGGGTCCCCCCGCCCTGGAAGGCCGCAGCGTGGCAGCATCCCCCGAGACCCCGCTCACCTGATAGTTGTCAAGGGGCAAGTACTTGTTCCCGCCCTCGTACAGAATCCCGGGCGTGGCGCTGACTGCAGAGCCCGGGTGCCCGTTAGCGCCGCCCAGCGGCGGGGGCAGGTTCTTGATGGCGTTGGAATTGACCAGCACCGAGTTCAAGGTGGCGCTCACTCCCAGCAGAGGGTGGCTGCTAAGAGCCGCCGCTACCAGGGCGACCAGGACCCGCGGGGCGGCCACTGCGCCCAGAACCGTCATTTCAGAAGGACTCGGTGGGAGAAAGAAGGAAAAAGAGGAGGCACGTCCCTTCGCAGGCCCGGTCCCGAAGGAAGCCGTGCTGGCGCGGCTGCGGGGTCAGGGTCTCCGCGTCCCGACTGCCAGCCGCAGGCAGCACTGAACCGCCGCCGCCACCGCGGCTGCCTTTATACAGCGGGCTCGGAGCGTTCCGGCCCCTCCGGGGGTGGGGGGAGAGGATGACAAAGCCGGGATGGGATTTCAAAGAGTTGGGAGGGGCTGGCAGGGGGTGTGTTTGTGTACAAGAAGCGGGGCCTTTGACTCTCGTCACCCCGCCCCAACCTCGCGAGGTGCTCCCTCCGCCCAGCTAGCTTCGGGCTGACGCGTCTCGGACAGCTTGGGGCAGTGGACCGGAGGACTCGCTGGAGGCGGGAGGGACCCTGAGACCCTGGGTGCACTGGCCTGGCAGCAGGGCGCGGGCGAGACGGACCTGCAACAGGCTGCAGAGCCTCACGGTCAGCACTCGCTGCAGATCCGCTCTTCGCTCCTGGCCGGTCTTCCACCACCGGCCCTGGTTTGTCGTACAAGCAAAATCACATTCAGTGTTAGATGCAGCCTGAAAAGATTAACGCAAAGGCTCCAGCCGACCGTCCCTGCCGGAGGTGTACCAGGTGGCCGTTTGCAAGTTGCTCATGAGCCCTCCTGGAGTCGCGGTTTTGCAGGCGTGGGTGAGGTCCTAGGCTTGAGGTTCATCCAGTTGTAACCCCTATACACACACACACACACACACACACACACACACACACCGCCTCCCGGCCCGGCCACAGCGGCAAAAAAAAAAAAAAAAAAAAAAGAAGTGCAAAGAGAAGGGAATTTGCACATCAAACGCGGGTCAACAAGGAAGAAGAACTAATTCTCTTTTGATGGGAAGTTTAGAGAGGGAGGCGAGAGACTGGAGTTTGGAAATTAGATCAGGGGTGGTAGAGGGAAGAGGGAAATGGCCATCTGATAATCTAACTATTTAATCTTGGAATCTGAGATGACCTTGATGAGGCAGACGTGCGAGATCAAAGTGGCCCCGAGCCAGAGCGGACAGGGTCCCACGTGCTGGGTCAGCCTTCTTTCCCTGGGTCCGCTTCTCAGCGGTGGGTTAATGCAGGGGATAAGATCCCCCAAGGCTGAGCGCCTGACTTCCTCATTAGTGGTTCCCATCGCCCAGGCTTCGGAACGCCGGTGTTTGATCGCAAGTCTGTGCCTCCCCGCGACGGTGGGAGATAAGAGACTACCTTGGGGCCAGGGAGGATGGCAAGTGAGCCAGAAAGTAAATCAGACTCGTGTAAGATTTTGTAAAAATGGGAAAGCCAGGCTTCTGCCCCAGACTGTTGTCAGACTGCTGTACAAGGATGTTGTGCTGTGAGTCTGTTTATTCAACAAACACACCCTGGAAGCCTGATGCCCTGGCATCTGGCTGCCCTCTAGGAGGTTGCTTTTTTTTTTTTTTTTTTTTTTTTTGGTGGGTTGGTTAGAGGTGTAGTGAGTAGGAATATTGAAGGGATAGTGCTAGCAAATATAATTCAAGTTCTCTTTATCATAATAATAGATTAGTAATAGAAGATAGAGAAATAATAAAAATTAAGACATGGGTGTGTTAGAAGATGGACAACTGCTCTGTGGGCTTGGAAAAGGGACAGGTCACTGAGTAATCACAAGACCGGGAAAAAGTCGTTCTCTGCTCTTCTCTCCTCTAAGCTAGTAGAATGACTGTGTATGCCTGAGACCACCACGCGTATAGCCAGCGATAGTCTCCAAGCAAAACAATCCCAAAGTGGAGAGGGAAGGGTGGTTTAAAAACAAAGCTTGTGCGGGTCTGTATTCCAGCTCCTGGGGTTTCAGAAGTCACATTAAGTCACCAATTCTTTAATCTCAAAACTAATGACACGGGTGTCCCTCCCATCCCCAAATCCATCCATTCTGAGAAACTTTCTCTGGTTTATTGATAACTTCCGTGTGAACATCTACAGTAGATTAAATCTACCTTATTGCCTTGGGTTTTCTTATGTACAATGACACCTTACTTGGCTACTTCTCCAGAGATTTTTAGAAGAAACTGAAATTTGGAAATGAAGGAAAGGATCTTCTACTGACTTTTCAAAAATGATGTTGGAAACAAGTCAAAAATGCAAGTGAGAATCAGTCATCGATTAGATCTCCCTGGGCACATATGGCCCTGGCACTCTGCCAGCTTGAAGGTCATAAGAACAGACTTTATAGGGCAAAAAAGGAAAGGCACAGAAGATTGTAGGTGCCATTTTATCACTCACAGGCTATATTAATAGCAATAATCCATATGTTGAAGCTTTCAGCGTATTAAGAAGTGCACTGGATGTTTTAAGGGTGTATGGTACTGAAATGTGAAGAAAGAGCCCCCTGCCTATGGGAAAGATGGCATGTTTCTTACTAATCCTATTATCCTATTTAACTATTTCTAGAAGTAGACTTGTGTCACACTAAAGAACTAGCTCGTTTCTTTGCTGACGAGATGGTACACATCTTGTTCTTTGCACACTAAAGACCTATCTCTTTTTCTTTGCAGACCCAATGGTGCACGATTAATATATTTAATAAACTTTGTTCATAAGACTTTGCTTTAGAAATGAAACTCTTGTCTGTGGGCAAAAGAAACAAAAAAGGGGAAGCAATTTCATCAGCCAAAGAAAACCATTGCTAAGTAGGCACATCATGTCCATTGAATTTTGATCCCTGAACATTTATTGTACATCCATTGTGGTTTAGTCTTCACTGAGCTTGGGTAGAGTCTGCTGTGTGGAGTAGGGGAGCTGTGTCAGGAGCTGTGCTTCAAGAAAGGCCTGGCTTCTATCTTCCTGCTTTTTTCACTTTCCGCCTGCATTTATCACATGCTTGAAGCTAGTGATAGGGAACAGGTCCCATCTCTGAGGTCCTGCTCTGTGCCAAGCATTGCACTTGCTGCTGTGTGATTAAAGGGAGAACGCATCTACCTTCAAGTGATGTAGTGCGAGGCAGGGAGGGAATCAGTTCCCAAATCCTGTTTGTACAGACTAGGAAGGCTGCATACGCAGAAAGGGCCAACTTTCGTTGCCAATGGGAAACTGACTTTTACAGTGGTGTGTCCACTAAGAAATCCTTTCCAAGTTTCCTGACACAGGAGTGCAAGATAGGGGAGTTGATAAAGTCAAGTTCATTGTTCCATCAGCACCCAGTTAATATTTGGTAAGTGCCTGTTATTGGGAATCTACCTCAAAAATGTTAAAGGCAAGGTCCTTGTCCTTAGAAAGATTTCAGTCTATCACTACATGAAGGAACACAAGGTGCTTACATGGGAGTCGGGGTAAAGATCATATTTCGGTATATATGTGGGATCTTCGAAAAGGTTGGGTTAGAATAATAAGGGAAGCTGGGTGTGGTTTGTTAACTGAGACAGAGACGCTAAAATGGATGTCATTGTGGGAAATAGGATAAGGGGTAGATGAGAACACTTTGTATTACTACCTAACAATTTTTGTTTTGTAAATAGAAAACTATTCTGAAATAAAATGATAAAATGTTTCTTAAGAAGTTGATGGAAAAAAATGTGCTGTGAAATAATTGCATGGATTTCTACAAATTTTTGCACAAAATAAATTTCTTTTAATTCTATTGTCACATGACCTTTTTTTTTTTTTTAAGAATTACTCTTATTTTCTGGAAAGGTAGAGTGACAGAGGGAAAGACAGAGAGACAAAAGAGATTTTCCATCCTGGGTCTCCATCCAGGTCTCCCCAAGTGTGCATGGGCACAAGCGCTTGGGCCATCTGCTGCTGCTTTCCTAAAGGCACACAGGTAGGGAGCTGGATCAGAAGCAGAGCAGCAGGGACTCAGGACTCGAACTGATGCTCCAATATGGAATGTTGGCATCGCAGGTGGCAGCTTAACTCACTGCACCACAATGCCAGCCCAAACTGCTGAAAGTCCTCTCTTTAGGTCATGAGGAAGAAAGCAAAGGGTCCAGCAATTGTGACTAAGAAGAGGTCTCAGGAAAGAGCATTTGATGATTCTCCAAGTCTGACAGCTGAGTGACCAGCTGCCTGGGAGCCCAGGCGGACATACTGAATTTATTAAACTTAGTGTACTTAGTGCTATAGGGAACCCTGCCTCTTATTTGATCTGGTTTTAATGGGACGATGATGAATTCAATAAGTTTAATATTTTGTAACCTCAGATTTAAAGACAGATGAGATATGTTTACCCATGTGGAAGTGAACCTTAACAACTAAGGAAAGGCACTGGGCTACCTGCTTGCCTCATAGTCTAAGAGTTGCCCATTAGGTACATAAGACCCATGATTCTTCTGTAAGGGGAGACAGACAAATGCAGTCCAAAAACCATCATGCTATTTGCAAATTGTTTTTCCATCTTAGTGATCTGAGGTTCTTTTGTTGACTGCACATTTTAATTCCCCCATCCCTCCTTTTTTTCCTTCCTTCCCTTTTTCCTCCCCTGAGAGGCTGGAGTTTCTGCACTTCTCAGTACAAGGAAAAGATGAGATTTGACAAGGTTAGCACGTATTTTGCCATTGGAGATGAGCAGTCCAGATAAAATCAGGCTCCATGGAAACTTTCAAACATACCTCCAAAGATTTAATGTTAATACTAACAGGAGAACAGAACCCCAGGAGAAAAACCAGTGAGGATACTGCCTAACCCAGGCACTCACTTGCATTTTTCTCATGTCCGGACACCCAGAGAGGGAGGACAGTGGATGCCTTGGCCCTCCCCTAAAGGTTGCAACATTTCCATTATGTTGTTGGGCCAGTGTCTGCGGAAAGCGGCATGGGGCAATCCCTGGGAAGCAAGGATAACAGTTTTCCTCGGAGTCCCCGGGGTTGCATGATACAGGCCTTCTCCAGGGCCGTGACCACCAATGGCACCCACCGTGCCACAGTGTCACGGGGCTGGGAGCTGAAGCTGTGTACCGGGCACTTACACCACAGCATCTGCCAGCTTCGTGGCAAATATTGCAGTCTCAGGGCTGGTGTTGGCTTTTCCTTTTCCATTTTTTTTAAAGATTTATTTATTTATTTGAAAGTCAGAGTTACAGAGATTTCCAGGGCAAAAGTAAGAGAGAGACAAGCAACTCACTGATTCACT